AAGGAATGCTGGGAAGGCGACCCAGACCCTGGTGCTGTGGCCAAGAATTCCTTTTGGCAACCCAACCTGTATCTTCCTCCTCCTGGAAGGTGAACTGTAAGCCAAGCATTCCTTGTTGCATGCGTGTAGGAGTTCCTCCATCCCCAGGGAGCCATGTACTCACTTGGGGTGGGGGGGTGCATGCATTTGGGTGGCTGGAAGCAGAAGGAGTGTAGTCCCCAAACCACACAGCCAGTAAAGATGAAGAGCTCAGCTATTCTGGAACTGCCGACTGACAGCCCCCCACCAAGGAATTTGGAAATTCACTCCTAATGCCTGGAGAGAAATCTGGCCCCTGACCCTGGACGGCCCCTAACCAGCTTCTATTCAGTGACAAGAGAAGTAGTGTTTACTTGGAACAAAGCCCCATGGGGGAATGAAAGCTGAATCAGAACTAAGCGAGCCCCCGCAGCCTACTGGAACATTAGGACATGTACACATATTGTCAAGGGACAATGGCCAAGGGCCATTGAGAAACCCAGAGAAAAGGCCTGGCTGGGGGTGAGCAAGGAAGGCACGGCCACTTCTAACTGGAAGATCCAAGTCTTGGAAGGCTTTCTGGAGGAGGTGTTCATTGAGCTGAGCCTTTAGGAATGGGTGAGAACTGGACCCAGCCAAGGGGATGTGAGAGAGGATGCTAGACAGCATCTAGCTGGACAGCAGAGGGAGCTAGTGAGCAGGGCATGGAAGGTGGGGGTCAGGAATTGGAGCTGGACCCCAGCCCATCCAGAGGGCCCAGAACAATCTTCAGAGGGAAGTAAGACCCTTCATTCTTTGGCACATCACTCTGCTCCCCCGTGAAGGGGAGAGGTATGCGGGAACGGGCGTTCGGGGGAGAGAGAACACTCAGAGAACACGGGGGAGGAAGAAAGTGGGGTGTGTGGCTGGACATTTGGACAACTCGTGGGCAGAACAGGGAGGGCACATGGAAGGGGGGGGTGTTAGGAAGGGCACAAAGTTCTCCCACAGATGGGACTTTATTTGGGTGGAATAAAGGGGACCTCTGGAAGGTGGAGCAGGAGTGACACACCCCCACGTGGGCAACAGAGAGGCCAGGCACGAGGCCTTGTAGAGATGGTTGTAATGGCCCTGGGAGCCGCGCTGTGAGAAGCACAGTCTCCTGCTCCCCGGAGCTCTCAGCCTGAAGGAGAGGCGGGCCCACCATGAAGCCCACGCAGGCAATGCGCAGCAAAGCAGGCAGAGCAGAGGGGAAGGGCAAGACCAGGAATGGAGGGAATTGCCCAGCACTGGGGCCCTATCAGGTCCCTGGTGACCTTCCAAGAGGAGTGGTCAACACCCATCACCCTCCTGAGAGGTTCCACCCTCCGGACCTGATCTTGGGTGGGGACCAGAGCTCTTAATGGACAGCAGAGGGAGCTAGTGAACAGGGTACAGGAGATGGGGGTCAGGAATTGGAGCTGGACCCGGGCTGATCCAGAAGGCCCAGAGCAAATTCTTCAGAGGGAAGAAAGACCCTTCATTCTTTGGCACATCACTCTGCTCCCCCGTGAAGGGGAGAGAATTCGCTTTGGGCCCCTTTCCTGTTCGGGAATGAAAAGCGTTAACATTCATTGACTGGCCACCAGGCCCTGAACAGCTAGTTCCTCTCACCACAGCATCTAGCGATGGGGGAGGGGCTGTTATCCAAACGCTGCCCCCTTCATAGATGAGTTCAGAGAGGAACAGAGAAGTTTAGCTTCTTGACAAAGTCACACAGCACCCCCAAAGGGGCACACTTACTAACATGGCACAATACTCCCGCAGGCAGAATCAGGCTATTGAGGCTTTGGAAAGTAAGATGCCCAGCTCCCTAAGCCATTCTGGGGACCAGAGTCTCCCACAGTATGAGGGGTGGTTGATGCAGCTAACAGAGCACAGCCAGGCTCTGGCCCCTCACCCAGGCCTGGCCAGTTGGCTGGTTGAGCCAGGGGGCCAAGGTCTCCCAAGACAGCAGCTCCTCTCCAGGCCTGACTGGGTGCCCCCTCTGAGGCTGTCTCTGGGTGTGAGTTCTCCAGACCTGTGTAGTTCTGCTCCTGAGTCAGTCCCGGCGTCCTGTGTGACTTGGCCTTCCCACCCCTCTGGCCTCCCTCTCTGAGTAGGGGCGGGTGGACGGCTGACCTCTCCAGCCCTTGCAGCTGGGCCTGGCAGGAGCAGAGACAATCAGCTCCTTCTTTAGTGAATGGCCCGGGAGGCAGCGAGTGAGGATGAGGACATTTTGACTCTGCTGCTCTTGGGAAACCCCAGATGGAATCTGGCATGGAATCTAGAAGGACGCATGGACTGCATGAGGTCTCTGGCCTCCTGGTGCATCGTTCCTGCCTGCCTGAGCACGCCTGCGCATTCCCACCCATGGCAGGATTAGGTGCTGAATAGATGTTGTCTTCCAGGCACCTCCTGACTCTAGACGAAAACAGCCTCCCTGCACTGGAGTCTGGGACTACGCTGTACCCCCACCTCCACCAGACCTCACCCACCGAGAATACAGGGGCCCCCAAACCATGATGGACTGAGGGACTCTGGCCACAGGGCCCCTCACCCCATCCCTATCTGCAGAAGGGAAAACAGAAAGTTTGGTATCAAGAGAAAAACTGGGGAGCCAGAGGTAGGTTGCAGAGGCCCTGACTGACTCATGAGCCTTACTTCCCCACTGGGGAGATATGAGGGGGGTGTGTGTTTCTTCTCAAATGTCTGTTCCTGTGACATTTTAGGGATGTGAGTACAGGTATCAGATTTAACATAAAAATACAGGACACATAGTTATATTTGCATTTCAGATAAGTGCAAAACAAATTTTAATGTAAGTATGTCCCATGTATATTGCATGGGATATATTCACATCTTTAAAAAAATTGTTATTTATCTGGAATGCAAATTTAACCGGGAAACCCTAGATGTGTATCAGGTGGATACGGAGAGCCAGAGGGGGGCCAGTGCCAGCCTCCTGCCCTTCTCCAGGAGAACTGGCACTGCCTGGACCCTTCATCTCTTCGGTGCTCCCGGCCTGTCCACCCCGCCAGCACAGCCCGGTCCTCTCACACCCTCATTTCACTCTCCAGGATACCCTCCTCCCCTCAACCACTCCTTTACGTCTCCCTTGGGGCAAACCTTTGTAGGGGCCCAGACCTGGGCAGAAGGTCTGGTGGGTGGAGATACCCCAGGCCTTGGGTGCTGGCACAGTGGAGCTGGGCAGGGTGGGGGGCCCAGGGAGCAATTTGACCAAGGAGTCAGAAGCATGGGTGCTGCTGGGAGAAGGTTCCAGAACTCTCTGGACCAGGTTCCCCTTGACAGGGGCAGGTTAGTCCAGAGCCAACTGCAGGGGGAGGAGGGAAAAGATGCCCCCCCACCCCCCCCACCCCTCCACTACTGTTGTCACTTCAGGAGATTCTCTGAGGCCAGACACCAACTCCACTTGGGTCAGGACTGGAAGCTTTGGTCCTTAAGAGATAAGGAGAAACAAATGGAGAAGGGGATGGGGGGGGGCAGGGAGAGCGATCCACCAGGAGGGGGGAGCAGGAGACTCAGAGGTGGAGGCGGGGAGACCCAGAACCAAGCCAGAGACCAGGGACATGCAAACAGACACAGAAACAGACCCGACAGAGACAGACAGACAGACAGAAAACCAGAGATGGAAAAAAACCCCAAACACTCAAAAGTTGAGAGAAACTGCTTGGAGACTGAGGGCCCATGAGGCAGAGATTGGCAGGAATTGAAAGAGACAAGGAGTGAAACACCAGGCGGAGGTAACCGGGAGATGACAAACAGGCACTTTTTAAAGCGGTAAAAAGAACAATAAACCCGAGAAGCGGCTTCCTGCCTGCTAGGTTGGGGGTATGCACAGTGACAGAGGCAGCTCTGGCAGGAGGCTCCTAAAGTCCTGGGAGCTTCTCCTGCGAGCACCCCCTCTCCCCAGCTCCCAGAGCAGCCGCCCCCACACCCCATCGCGCCCCCCCAGGGCCGGGCCGCCTCTGTCCACCTTCGCCACGGCCTCCGCGTCTCCCCGGCTCCGGCTTCGGCGGCTGCTTCCCGCCACCCCGGGCCCTGCACCCCGCCCGCCGCCCGCCCCAGCCCCCGCGCCTCGGGGTCCCAGGCCCGCGCTCGGGGCGTCGGGGCGCCGCGTTGAGGCTGCCGCCCCCTGCCGGCCGGCCGCGAGGCGCGCGTCCCGAGGGCTGGGGCGCGGCCGCCCCCTCGGAATCCGGCTGCTCCCGCGCCGCGGCCCGCGCGGGTCTTTCCAGGAGCCCAACCCGCCGCGCCCGCGCCCCGCGCGTCCCGACGCCGCCCCGCCGCGGACCCCGGAGCAGCCCCAGGTCCCCGGGTGCCCCCTGTCCCCTGTCGTCGAGTGGGGTCCCGACGCCCCCGCCCCGGGTCTCAGGGGAGCTCAGGGGACTGGGAGGGGCCGCGCCCCGCTCCCGACCCTCCTTCCCGGGCCTGGAGATCTCGGGGCTCTTGGAAACCAGCCGCGCGTCTCCTCCTGGAGCCAAATAAAAGCAGTGGGTGACGTCCCCAACAGCCCCCTCACACTCCCCTCCAGGGGTCGGCTTCCCTTCCCGAGCCTCTGCCCGCAGAGGTCGGGGGAGAAGGGACGCCCCGCCCCCCTGTTCCCCGCACGTCGGGGCGCAGCTCGCCCCACCTCGGGCCAGGAATGACTGGAGGTGGGGAGCTGCGGGCTGGGAGGCAGAGCAAGGCTGTCCAGACACCGGAATCCCCCCCAACCCCCCCAGGTTATCAGTTCTACCTCCCAGTTACCAAACTTCAACCAAGCCCCCCTCCACACACACACACACACACACACACACACACACACACACCCCTTCCGCATTCAGGTCCAGGACCGTCCTATCTAGGGTGCCTAAGCTCCGCCTCCCTCCTGAGGCGGGGCCCTGCAGGTGTAGGGACCTGGAAGAGGCCCCCACCTCTCCCCTCCTTCCCCCACTACGCGGAAGCTCAGTGACCCCCATGCCAGGATGTCTGACTCCGGGGTGCCCGGCCTCCGGCCCACCTTGCTGCTCGGCCTGCTGGCCGGCCTCCAACAGGTGAGCTTTGGGTTCGCCCTTCGGGATCTGCTCTCCCCGGTCAGGAACCCGCTTCTGGAGCCCGGTCACTACCTGTCCTTGTCAGGATTCCCCCCCACCACGCGCTGTTAGCAGCCTCCTTTCTCTTCTTGCTACGGAGGGGGGACAGGGGGTGGCCCTGACTACCCAGGCTGCTTGCTGCAGGGACTGGGGTGGGCTCCGCCCAGCGCCCCACACCCAGCACCTCTCTGGAGTGGGGACTTTGACCCCACAGGAGCCTTGGCTCTTCCTTCTGCGCAGTCAGAAAGCTGGGAAAGCCAGCGGTGGGGGGCTGAGGTCTGCACACCTGGCCAGCCTGTCTCCCCAGCTCTGCTCCTCCAGGGCTGGGTGACCTTGGGGAAGTCCCAGGCCTCTGGGGCTGTGTTTTTCTGCTTGAGCCCTGGGGTAGGGGAGGCTCTCCTGCCCTCCTGGGACTGGAGATAGGAGTCCAGCCTGGGGTAGGATTTGACCCAGCTGCCTGACCCCAGGCCGCAGTGTCCTCTGAAGTCTTGATTCTGGCCAGAGGAACCCCTTGCTCCCACATAAACCCTAAAAGCCCTGGGGGAGGTGTGACCAGTCCAGGGATGGGAGCTTGTCCTGGAAGCACCTGATGCACCTTCCACACCTCATGCAGGTGTAGACGCATCTTTCAGTTTGGGCTGAAGAATCCCGGGGAAGTCCCAGGCTGCTCCCCGGAACAGGGCAGGTTCCCACCACCAGACCTTCTCAGAAAGCTCTGCCCAGGAGGCGCTGGTCCTGCCAGGCCTGTCCGGGTCAGCTGGCGCCGGCACTCACTAGGCCGAACATCCTCTTCTTATTCCTCCAACAACTGCAGGGCCAGGTGCTGTTAATGTTCCCGAATGATGTGTAAATAAACCGGGTTCCCAAGACCAAGATCCCTGACACTGGATAGAAAGCAGGCTGTGGAAAGCCTCCGAGAAGACCACCCCCTTAGAGTGGAGGGAGAGTATCTGGAGAAGCTCCCCTCCGCCCGCCCCAAACTGGAACTCAGCACCCATTTATTAAACCTGCCAGGAGAGGGAGGCGCGTCTGGTATCTGAGGGTCAGGGCCTGACTTCTGCGTCCTCCCCAAACCCCTTGGTTTGTCCCCAGCTCTGCAGTCGCCCTCTTGGCTCTGGTCCTCCCCTCTGTGGGCTTCTGCAGGGGCTCCCCCCTGCTCCGGTCACTCCTGGCTGGGAAGGACATTCCCACGGAGCCGAGCACAGCAGAGCGTTCTCTTGTTGGCTGCACGGGCGTCCCTGGCTGTATGCTGCTGTCATCCTTGTGGTTGTAAAGACAGAAAGTCACAGTGGCTTTGCCCAAGTGACTACCTATCCTTGAGCCCTGCTTGCTTGCACTGGAGGCTGGGAGGGGCGAGGTGTGTGTGACAGATAACCCCCCTTCATCACCCCCACCCCCCCAAACTGTACTCCCCCCGCCAGGTGGAGTAGCCTGGGGGAGATGAAACCAGGTGATGGGTGAATGGGCTTCATTCATTCCTCCAGGCCAGCGTCATGACTGGGTTTGACAGTGACTAAAAAGACAGAACTCCCTGCCCTCTGAAGGTTGCCTTTTTCGGGGAGACCAGCAGTTGAGGAGACAAAAGAAAGTGTTTCCGGTGTGAGATGTTGGAAGAGCTGTGCCCAGAAGCTCACCTCAGTGAGGGGAAGGCGAAAGCTTTGGAGCCTGGAGTGATCTAGCAGGCAGGAGTAGTTGCTGACTCCTGGACCCCTGACACCAAAGCCATGGAGAGAACACAGCGCAGAAGGGCGGCAGAAGACCTGAGCCTTTGGGACCAGGAATGTGGCTGCGGGTGCCGGAAGGGGCAGGCAAGGAGACAGCAGATAAGCTCGCACCTCGCGCCTCTACTAAGAAAGGGAATGAGGTTATATAGGTTTGGGGGGCCAGGGTTGAGAGAAAGGAGAGCTGAGGCCAGATGTGGCAGCTGGGGCTCCAGTTGTTGCCCAGGGGCACATGGGGGGGCGAGGTGGAGAGCAGTCTTGGGGGAAAACACTGACCCCTGAGAACATGCAGCAGCGTTGCTAGGAGACCCTGTTCCTGGGGAGACCTCTAACCTCTGCCTCTTTCCTTCCCCAGGCTGCAGCCCAATGTGGGATCATCTTGTAAGTCTGGGGTGTGGGCTGTACCTACCAGTCTGGGAGAGACACCCTGAAGCCTGCCCTACCTGCCTTCAGGGGATGGGGGGAGGGAGCACCTCATCAGTCATTCACACACACTCCCCTTCCAGCCCACTGGCCCCCCCCCCCCCCCCCCCCCCCCCCCCCCCGTCCCCCACCCAGAGGGGACTCTTCCCTCCTTCCACCAGCCAACCTGCAGGCTGCGGGGAGTCAGAGCCCAGCCGTCCTCAGTGCAGTCTCAGGCCATCTCCCCTCTGAGGGAACCCCGAGTGGGACAAACACCTTCAGTAGAAATGCCAGGAAGTGCGCGGGCTGAGGCTGCTGGGCAACCAGTGAGTCCTGGAAGCTCTGGAACACCCTCTCCTCCCACTTCCCCTGCAGGGGCACCAGCAAGGCCCCTCCCACTCCTGCTGGGCACTCCCACCCCCCCATCTCCCTAGGGTGTTGTGAGGCCTCTCTGCCTGTCCACAGTGGGGGCAGTGACTCGGCCTTCAGTCGAGGGGACTCACATCGCGCCCATTTTACAGAGGGGGGTTGCGGCCACGTGAAGAGCATAACTGACCCAGGAGCGCAGGTCCAGGTCCTGGGTGCAAGTTTCTCCCACTGAGCCAAGGGGAGCAAGGGGCGGGCTTGAGCTCTGCCCTGAGTTATGGATGAGATTGCAGGACTTGATGCCAACACCCCCTCTCTATGCCCCCCAGTATGTGCCCTGAAGGATTCACATGCTGTGACAACCAATGCTGCCCAAAGATGGACATCTTCTCTGGCCCCCTGAGGTGAGTCTGGGCAGCCTCTTCAGCTCAGTCCCCTGGGGCAGCTGCACTTCCTGCCAAGGGGGTCGGATGTGGGCCAGGGCAGGAGGTGCTGTGGGCATGGCATGGAGACTCAGCGGGTGTTGGTGCCTCCTCACTGCAGGGTCTTCGTCATCGCCTTCCTTGTCAGCATCCCCTTCTTATGCATCTGTGGCTTGATGAAGCGCTACTGTCGCAGCTGCAGAAAGCCAGAGCTGGACATCCCAATGGATCATGTGGGACCCCCAGAAAGGCCCTCCATGGCCCCCCCAGAGAGGGTGGGGGTATCCATTCCTGAGCCCCCGCCCCCCTACAATGAGGTGGGTGTCTGCCCCATCCCTGTGCTGCTCCGTGGCCGACTGTGCCTCCCTGTTGTCCTGAGCTAAGGGACAGTGGGAGGTCTCCTCACACCAGCCTCTGGCCCCGAGGGAGGCAGCCTGGGTCACCTTCTCCCTGGTCAGCGTGTCACAGTCAGCTCTGGGTGGCCATGGCCAGCACCAGGCCCTAAGGAGTCTGTGTCCCCTCCTTTCCCTGCAGGTTATTCTGAAGCCTGTCCTGCTCCCCACAGAGCCACCCCCTCCCTACAGCTTCAGGCCCGAAGAACATGCTGGAGCCCACAGGGGCATCGACAACCCAGCCTTCTGAGCCACCTCCCGCCTGGAACCCACCGCCAGGTCCTCCTGGATCCAGCCAGAGACTCCTGGGCCCCTGGATTGCCTGCGTCTTCCTGCTACCCCCGTCCATCCCTGGATTGAACTTACTGCCTTCCCTGCCCCAGCGACTTCTCTTGTCCTGAGGGCTGGAGCAACAGTGTCAGCTGCGAGGCTGCTGGGAGGAAAACCCCAGCAGTGGGAGGTGCCTGACCGTGGAACCAGGAGTGGACAGAGCCCGTCTCTGGACTGGACGCCAGCTCTGTGCCATTGTGGGGGCACTTCTGTGCTGGAGGGATCGCCACCGAGCACCTTCCACTTGAATGAGCCCCAAGAACCTTCCTCTTCTGCCTGTATAGGGGAGACCTCCGTCCCCCATGGGGTGTCACTGTCCTCCCAGGACCATGTACTCATTAAATTCCAGCCGGTTTTTGCTGAGAGTCAGCTTCTGGCTGCCTGGGGCGTGAGCAGGGAGGTGAACCCAGACACTGTGGGGGACTTAGGGAGGGCTCACTGTGCCCCAAGTCCCACCCCTGATGCGTCTTCCAGGGTGTGCTGACTGCCTGTCCGGGAGGACAGGACACCCACAGCCACCTCCGGAAGATGCTGCCTGCAGATGCTTTGCCCTGGCGCTGAGGTCTCTGGGCGCTGCAGAGACTGCATAGGGCGGTGGGCTGGCTGTTGGCTCCCCACCCTGCTCCCTCTGCCTTCCCCAGAGCAGAGTTCAGCTCCCTGCTCTGTCACCCTGGGGGTGGCAGGGGGCACAAGGGAGGAGAGTGGGGAGGCCAGTCCTCTGTGGGGCCATGTTGGAGACCTTGATCAGCGGCACCCCGGAATCTCCTGGAGGGAGCAGCAGAGTGCCAGATCCACCCTTCTCTTCCCACCCTCCATCCCCCCTATATGTTAACTCCTAAGAGGAAAGAGGCATTTTCCATCTCAACATGGAGAGTCCTGTGGGGGCTGTAGCAAAGGCGGGAGCTGGGAGGCTGGCAGGGGCATGCAGAGTAAGACAGACCCCCCCCAACTCCCTGCCACCTAGCTTCACAGTGCTCCCCGCAGTGCCTTCTCTGCAGGTGGAGGGCATAGCAGCAGCGCTGGCCAAGGCTCCTGGCCTGGAGAACTGGAAGTGGAGCTGACCTGACTGCTGTCAGGGATGCCCCCTCCAGGGCTTGTTAATAATCCTCCTTGGGGCATTGGGGCCCAAATAGTAGGAACTGGGTCTGTCTGGCTGGGGAATCCTCAGCCCCAGAGGAAAAATAACAATTGACAACATCGTGCTCGGGTTGGTTAGGGAAATGAGTCCAGACACAGGAAGTTCCATTTAAGTGTCAGGGATTGATGAGTGGGGAGCAGAAGGAAGATATGTGGGTGCTTTGTGTCCATGTGGGGAGCTCCAGTTAGACAAGCCCTCGAGCTAAGTTTGCCCTCTCTGTGGTACCCCCGGCCCCCAACACCATGGAAGGCTGTTAAGCGGTGAGTTAGCAGACGGAGGAGGAAGCCACACTCAGCCTGGTTGCTGCCTCCTTTCGTCAAGGAGGACATGGGCCTTGAAATCCACCCAGGCAGTGGTAGGGTGGCCTGACAACAGTAGTCACCCCAGACCAAATGTCGCTGGGAGCTGGTGCAGAAACTGCCCGTTTTTTCCTTCCTCCCTGTCACTAAATGCTAAGGAGCACGGGGCAGCACTATTCCAGGTCTGCAGAAAGGAGAGCCACAAGCAGACGTCATTCCTGCCCTCGTGGGAAACAGACGCTCTTCAAACCACCCAACAAACAGGTTGGTGTGTCGACTGTGGGCTCAGTGCTGGGAAGAACAAGTAAGCATGGAATATTAGAGAACTGTCATGGGCAGGGACTGCTTTAGATCTCTCCTAACAGGTGACATAAAAGTAATTGCAGAGGAAAGAGAAGGAGCTGGACTTGAAAGTGCATAGAGAAGAGCGCCCAGGGCAGAGGGGCGCCACATGGAAAGGCCCTGAGCAGGGAGACCTACAGGTGACCCCTCCTTGCTTTAAACCCCCGGGGGTTCCTAATAAAGGTACATTCATTTGTTGGGACTAGGATCCAAACAAATAACTACCACATGGATGACTTACAGCAACAGAATGTGCACTCTCAGTTCAGGCCAGAGTCTAAAGTCTCTGTGTGGGCGGGCCCGGTCCTTCTGGAGGCTCTCAGGCAGAGCCATCCCATGCTCCCTCCTGGCTTCTGGGGCTGCCTGCAATTCTCGGGGTCCTGGGTGAGCGGCTGCCACCCTTTTCTGCCACCGTCTTCACAGGACTTTCTCCTCTGTGTCTATGTGTTCTCCCATGCTGTCTCTCCTGGACCCTCTTCATTGGATTTAGGGGTCCCCTTAATCTGGGATGATCCCACCTCAAGATCCTTATGTTCATTAAATCTGCAAAGACACTTATTCCAAATGAGGCCACATTCTGAGGCTCCAGGCAGGCACATCTTTTGGAAGACAAAATTTCTCCCTCTACACAGGATATGGGCACCTCAGAGATCCTCAGCCACAGAGTATCTCAAAGTGTATTCCCTAAAAAAAAACTTCTAGAAGATGTTTTCAATAAGGGAGCGGTAATCTGTGCTCAAATAAATTTGGAAGTGCTGCTGTATACATACCTCCCACAGGAAGATCTGCAACCCAGTTTAACATAGTAAAGGGTTGAGAATTCCCAGGAAAGAAGCCCGCTTTCATTACTTAAAACAGCCTTCCCTTAATTTATATTGCCATAAAAGCCCATTTTCCTCATAATCCCTGGGAAATTTTAAGTTCTTAGCATTTTGTGGAAATTTGAGAAAAATGCTGACGTATTTCAACCCTATTACAGATGAGTCAACCAAAGTCCAGAAAAGGAAGTGACTCACCCAAGGTCACACAGCTGGCAGGGTCAGAAATTGGATTTAAAACCCAGTCTCTTCAATATATTAGAGATTGAGAGCAAATTAATGAGTATCAGGGGTAAGGGATGATGGTGGGAGGGGACTGTGTGTGGCTCTAAGGGAGTAGCAGGAGGTAGATCTTTGGGGTGATGGGAGGTTCTGAACCACAAATCTACCCAGGTGATAAAATAACAGCAATGCTCACAGCACACGCACATTGTACCAAAGTCAGCTTCCTGATCTGATACTGTACATAAGGTGTAACCACTGAGGAGCCAGTCAGAGGGAAGTTGGGACCTTTCTGCACTAGCTTTGCAGTCTCAAGTGAATCTGTAATGATTTCAAAATAAAATATTTAAAAAATCAGTTTCCTACCTCTAATGTTCAAGAGCTTAAATGTTAAAGTTCATTATATCAAATTTAGTTTTGGTTTATGCACCCAGGGCCCACTACAAAGCACGGTTTATTGCTTTTTACAGCTTGCTGTTTATTTAATGTAGGTGTAGAGGGAGGTAATTTGTGAATGTTCTGCTGCAACGGTGAATGCAAAAGTGGAGGGGTTTCTCCCTCCTTCACACCTGACATGACTTTTCTGCAGTCAAGCGTGTGACTTCTACTCACACAGAGATGCAGAGCAATCAGAGGCTCTGGAACATTTCTGAATCATCTACATATTGGGGAAGGATTTTATAAACACACACACACACACATACACACATAGACAAAATGTAAATTTTATTTATAAAAACAAGCAAATTGGGCTCATGCACCATAGTTAGCTGACCTCTGAACTGAAACATATAACCCAAATAAAGGTCTTATTTTTCCACCTCTGATCCTCTACCCAGCTTGCTTGTACATTTGTTTTTTTTCCCCTTTTTTAAAATTGTGGTAAAATATACACAACATAAAAAATTAATGGCTTAACTATTTTCAAGTTACAGCTCAGTGGTATTAAATAAATTCATGATGCAGTTTGCGAAGCTGCAGCCTCTGTCGGTTCGATCTGCTCACCAGAGGATCCCACATGGCGCGCAGACCTCTCCTGCTGCTCCCTCAGCAGTGTACTTCGGTCCTTCTGCCTGCTCTGCTCCCCGCTCTGGCTCTGGTGAATTCTCTCGCCCTTCTGACTGTACCCAGTGCATGTATAAACAAACAAACAACAAACAAACAGCAAAATAAATAAAAGCATGCCTCTATAAAAATAAAAATAAATAAATAAATAAATAAATAAATAAATAAATTCATGATGCTATGCAATGTTACCACCCTCCATCTTATAACTCTTCTCTGATTTTTTAAATATTTTATTTTGAAATCATTACAGATTCACTTGAGACTGCAAAGCTAGTGCAGAAAGGTCCCAACTTCCCTCTGACTGGTTCCCCAGTGGTTACACCTTATGTACAGTATCAGATCATGAAGCTGACTTTGGTACACTGTCCATGTGCTGTGTGCTTATAAAACAGTACCCATTAAATAACAACTCTCTGTTCTCTGCTGATTCAGTTCTACCTATATTCTAATATAGCTTATGATTTCTTCTTTAATCCACTGGTTGTTTAAGAATGGGCTGTGATTTTCCACAAAACTGTGAATTGTCAAGTTTACTTCAGTTATCGATTTCTAATTTCAGCTTGCAATTGGAGAAGATATTTTGTGTAATATCTATTTTTTAAAATCTATTGAGACTTCATTTGTGAGAGGAACATGCATGCTATTATTGGTGAAGTGTTCTGCGTGTTGCTATTCAATCTAGTTGGTTTATTGTGTTAAGTGCTCTGTTTCTTTAGATACCTTCTGTCTGATTGCTCTATCCTCAACTAAAAGTGGGGTATGAAGTCTCCAACTATTTTTTCTTAATTTTTAAAAAAGATTTATTTATTTATTTATACAAGCACTGGGTACATCAGAAGTGCGGGAGGGTGAGAAAATTCACCAGAGCCAGAGCAGGGAACAGAACAGGCAGACTGATGAAATACACTGCTGAGGGGAGCAGCGGGCACAGCAGGAGAGGTCTGTCGCGCCATGTGGGACAGCTTCGCAGCCCAGCGCTCAACCACTGTGCCACCAGGGGAGGTCCTGAAGTCTCCAACTATTATAGAATTGTTTATTTCTCCTTTCCATTCTGTCAG